ACTACTCTAGATGAAGGTGAGGTTGCACATGCTTGTGAATGTAGCCACCCTAGCTTTCTTGTGCTATCCCTAAGGCTACCCGCCCAAAACCTGTATGAGTTCAGCACCACAGGCTAGCAGGGCCACTCATTAAATTACAATGAGTGCTCATTATACCCAGTAAATGCTCATGGTATTTTAATGAGTACAACAAACATTCTGCTGGGAAAAGCTCAAGGGTGCAACAAAAGCTTATAATAGTAATACACAAGAATAATACACAAGAAGTTATTTGAAAAAGGAAACTTATGGCAAGTACTTTCAATTTTACATACTGCAAATTTTGAACCAAGCATCCAAAATGAGAAGAAAGTATATGTCACACAAACACATAAGGTCTACTTATTTTACTTTGAACTTCATGTAATCTCTCTCTTGGGTTTTGGGATATCTCATTTTTAAAAAAAAAAATATCTGAAAAAAAGCATAGGCTACAACATTACAATTTGATGCATTTTACAATTACGAGACAAATATCTCTGGGACCTACCCATAGTAGTGCCCATGATACTAGAGTTTTCAGAGCTCACTGGTCAAAAAAGACCCAGATTTCACAGGGGTCTCATGCAAGAGTAGTATAACTCAGCTGCAAATTGTGTTTGTCAATAGAAAGTTTCAGTTCCCAATTAAAAGGTTCTTAGACAGCATTCTATCTGACTTGGCAAATGTTAGCCTAGATAGATGAAACTGACATATGCCAAATGAACATCTCTATACACAGGGCTTTTTTTCTCATAGAATGCCCAGAATGGAGTTCCGGCACCTTTTTTGGATGGATCCTTGTAGGGTAGGCAAGGCAGGTTGTATGACGTGTGTGAATTCTGGCACCCTTTTTTTTTTTTTAGAAAAAAAACATTGTCTATACAATCACAGTTGTAAATGAGTTTTGTCAAGTTTGAGGAGATCTAAAAAATGCAGAACTAGATGATACAGATTTGTGGGTTATTATCTGAATCAGCAACTTATAGTGCTACCACGCCAAACTGGTTAAGGATATATATGTTTAAAGCAGCCAAAGCAACTATAGACCTATTAGCACAAAACTCTGAAATTCTACTCAATATTGACCATACCCAGACCACTATTTTTAAGTCAGTCACTCATTTCATCAGACTATGTAACAGTTGTGTGCATATACTGGAGGCATTTTTTTAAAACTTTTGGTCCTTACTTAGGTATCTCATTTCCCCCCCTCACATGAGATACTAATAGCACTCTATAAAGCCTTAGTAAGGCCACACCTTACTGCAACCAGTTTTGGTCACCACACTATAAGATAGATGTTGAGACTTTAGAAAAAGTGCAGAGAAGAACAACAAAGATGATTAGAGGATTGGAAGTTAAAACATATGAAGAATAATTACAGGAACTGGGCATGGCTAGTCTAGTGAAGAGAAGGACCAGGGGAGATAGGATAGCAGTGTTCCAATATTTGAAGAGCTGTCACAGAGAGGAGGGGTCGACCTATTTTCCAGAGCACCTGAAGGCCAGACAAGGAATAATGGATGGAAACTGATCAAGAAGAGATTCAGTCTAAAAATAAAAAAAATTCTGACAGTGAGAACAATCAACCAACAGAACAGATTGCCCTCAGAAGCTTCATCACTGGAAGCTTTCAAGAAGAGATTGGACTACCATCTGTCAGAAATGGTGTAAATGGTCCACTAAATTTTTGGTTAGGACTTTTCTATATGTGAAGTCTAGAAGGGGAAAATAAGCAAACATATTATAAAATTTCTAGCTGTTTACAGATTTTGATATTTTTCTGTTTTGTTTCTTTTTAAGTAATGATTGTTCATTTTGTCATTTATAATACAACCATATATAGTAAAGTGATATGGCTTTCACTAGAACTCGGATGGAAAATGGAAAGAAAAAGGAGATGTTAATATAACTATTCCCATGAAGGTTTTCTATAAAATTAAAAAAACCACACACTTGCATTTTAGTCTCATAAGACAGTCAATGAAAACTTTCTTTACAGATTTGTCATACAATTTGTTTTTCAGTCATCCCACCATCCATGAAATTTTCCTTGAGAGTTTTTATTATTATTATTATCATTATCAATCATCGCACAGTCAGCCAGATGTTCAGACTGGATTTGGCATTTTCTCTACCTATCGAGTCCTTACCCAGGACCTGGGATAGGCAGATGTGGATGTTTGATGGTATTACAGATATCGTCATAGGATGGAAGCAGTTCCTAGGAAGGCTGCCTTTTGCAATTGACTGATGGCAAATTTGTCAATGCCAATGGTGTTCAAGTGGTGCTCCAGTTGTTTTGGGATTGCACCCAAGGAGCCTATTACTATTGGTACTACCCTTGCTTGCTTTTGCCACAGTCTTTCTATTTCTATTTGTAGGTCTTTGTATTTTGTTATCTTCTCCAGTTCTTTCTCTTCTATTATGCTGTCTCCAGGCACTGCCACGTCCACTATCCAGACTTTTTTGTCTTTCTTATCGACAATTGTTAAGTCTGGGGTGTTATGTTGCAGGTGCTTGTCTGTTTGAATTCTGAAGTCCCAGAGCAGTTTAATAATTTAATAATAATTTTATTATTATTATTACTATTACTATTATTATTTTCCTTTTCTCCTCAAGGAACAGTGAATAGTGAAGACTGTTTTTCAATCTTAAATACATAACAAAGGAAATCACACTGCCCCAGTGGTATTCTCTTTCATTATGTATCCACCAACTTTTAGGTCACTTGCGTAATAACAGTGTAGGATAGTGTTCGTTTTTATGAATGATAACTTCTTTCTCTGTGATAAGCTTTGTTATACAGACAAATTTGGCAATTTTCCTCTCCAGCAAGGAAGATAGATAACTGTACCTTTTATTATACTGACAACTAGGACTGAAAATAATGTAAACTATGAAAACTTAGCATTGTTTTTTGTTTGTTTGTTCTGTCTCATTTTTTATAAACAAGAATTTTCAAAGGTCATCAACTATCTAGGGGAAATGTTTATTTCCTAAGCTGGGCTTGTACCTCAACAAAATCTTTGACAGAGTGCCTCATGATATTATCTTACTCAAACATCAAAATATGACTAGATGATCTCAACATTAGATGGACTCAAATTTGGCTGAATTGTTGCACTGCAAGAGTGCTCACCAATCACCCCAACTTCACATGGAGAGAAATACTGGGTAGAATTCCACAGGACTCCGTTCTGCATCCTGTGCTGTACAATATTTTCATCATTAATGATTTGAGGGGGCATTTATAAAGTTGGCACATGACAAAAACTGGGAGAAGCGGCTCATTCTTTAGATCAGTGGTTCTCAACCTTTTTAATGCTGCGACCCCCAACCAGTCGTAAGTCGAGGACTACTCAACCGGTCGTAAGTCGAGGACTACTCAACTGGTGCAGCACCATTCGCAGAATGGGACTTTTGGTGGGCTCAGCAGGGCAGAGACAGCCTGGACAATTCCTATTGGCTTTTGAAAGCCAATAGAATTAGACTCTATTCAAGAGAGTCTATTCTATTGGCTTTCAAAAGCCAATAGAATACAAGGGAGTAGCACAGCTAAGGAAAAGGGGAAAAAAATGGCAGACTGCGTTGTTTGGCGACCCCCGTGAAATGGTCATTTGACCCCAAATGGGGTCCTGACCCACAGGTTGAGAATCACTGCTTTAGATAAAAGGGAGAAGATTTTAAAAGAACTTTCAAAAGGGCTTGGTATAAGAAATTATAAGAGCCATGGTGGCATAATAGTTAGAATGCAATATTGCAGGCTAACTCTGCCCACTGCTAAGAAATCGATCCTGACTGACTCAAGGTTGACTCAGCTTTCCATTTTTCTGAAATCAGTAAAATGAGGACCCAGATTATTGGGGGCAATATGCTAACTCTGTAAATTGCTTAAACAGGGTTGTAAAGCATTCTGAAGTGGTGTATAAGTCTAAGTGCTATTGCTATAACATGTTATAACCAACTGCTGAATTTTAAGCAGAATAATGTAATGTCTAACTTTATACAACTTTCAGAATATAAAAACAAAACCCTAACCCTCACCTGGTTCTTTAATCTCTGCACACAACCGACTTTAAAGTGAGAAGGAGGAGTATAGTCTGAATGTATGCAAATGAGTGAAAGAGTGGGAAACAGAATAAATTCAGGAGAGCCCTATAAGCTTGAGGTATTCCCCATTTCTCTGGTTAAATTCTCTAAGAGCTGCCTTGGAAGAAAGAGAAGGGAAATTTATGCCTCCAAGCTACTAATTAAGAAAGCCAAAACATTCCAAGGCATTGTGTGGAACTCCTAAACTTCAAAGTGTTCAATGGAACAGGACAGACCCACAAGGGAACATTTAGGTAGTGGTCCAAGGTGTTGAATGGAACTCTTAAGATTTATTTTATCTGTTTTTATTTTAGATTTTTTAAATCCTGCCTTTATTATTTTTATAAATAACTCATGATGGCAAACATAATTCTCCTTCTTCCTCCAATTTTCCCCATAACCATAACCCTGTGAGGGCTGAGAGAGTGAGTGATTGGGCCACAATCAACAGCCAGTTTTCATGCCTAAGGCAGAACTAGAAGTTGCAGTTTCCTGGTTTCTACCCTGATCTCTTAACCACTAGACCAGAGGTAGGCAACCTTGGCTCTTTTATGACTCGTGGACTTCAACTCCCAGAACTCCTGAGCCAGCCATGTTCTGGGAGTTGAAGTCCACGAGTCATAAAAGAGCCAAGGTTGCCTATCCTTTCATTAGACCAAACTGGCTATAGGGAGAACTCCAAAATTAAAGTACAGATCATTGTGTGAATTAAGAAGAGAGAAAGTAGATCCACCTCAAGTCTAGCCTATGTCTAATGCTTGAGCTCATTTTAACCATTCTTGAGATCCAAATTGTTAATTACTATTACAGCTGTTATACCCTAATATTAAAGCCTGAAGAAAATTTGTTATGTACAAGTCTTTTCAAGCAAAATATCATCTACTTACAATTGTGAAATTCATAACTTTGAGAATCCAGATGGTCATAGCAAGATTCACCAGGATTAAAATCATTAGAAGTAGCACAAAGAAATAGAGGCACCTCTTCCTCCAACCATAAATTCCCACTTTGTATACATGTGGTCCTTCTGAGCTCTGCATGGTGCTTCTCTGGGCATACTGTTCCTGAGGCATCTGGAAAAAAATATATAACCAGATATCATAGGCATAAACTGTGGGACATGTTGAGACTATGTATTCCTTTATTTAAATGATTTAAATGGCTACTGATCTCACAACTGGCAGTATACCAGGATAAAACAATAAGCACACCACAAATCTCTAAGTGACCAAGATTAATACTATAACCTTAATCACAGGGGTGAAAGGCTAACAAGGTCAGGACCATCCAGATGCTTTTCTAAGTGCAGACCCAATTTGTAAGTCCAACAAGATGGTGCCTGGCATATGTCCTCTCCAAGATCTGGTGAGAGAAACAATGTAAGTCCTACAAATAGCTTCTTACAACTGAATATAAAATAAAGCATTTTGGAAATACCTGCATAGATAAGATACCCTTTTTGGCTTTGTGACTATAATGCAAGTACAGATTCTTCATTACTGAGCTGCAGAAGTCTAATTTTTAAAAATGTAGGATAAAAAAACATATATTGTCAAAATGGTATTATTAATGGTGTGGGCATGTTCTTTCTTGCTTATTCCTTTTTGCTAAAATGTAAAAAGTACAAATCTAAAGAGGAGATGGGGTACAATTTAATTTGGTCCATATTGATAAAATGAATCGACCCAATTCACGCTTGCCAGAATTTTTTAAAAATGGGCTTGTATGCAATCATTACTCAGATTTCATTACTCACTGGATTTTGTAATTATATTTTTGCAAAAGAAAAATTATTTTTTAAAGAAAAATATATGTTAAAGAATATGTTATGGAAAATAACATGGAAATGTTACCTATCAGTTGTTTGACAGTTTTTAGTTTTTAATTTAGGTATTGACCTAGAAAAAGAAGAGAATGGATTTATAAATAAATATATGTGAGATTGATCCCGATCAATGAAAAAAAGGCTTGATCTAGTTGTATTTGGGTCAGAAGCAACCGGGAAACACAAGGACTATAGTAAGGGCTCAAGCTAGTTGAAATCTTTATGTGAAAATTGAGCAGATGGACCCCTATCCTGAGATCAGAAAGAAAACAGCCATACATCCATCGACTCACAAAGGCAAGAAGGCCTAGGCTTTAAAGTTTGGAGTAGACATATATAAAGAGCTTGATTTCTGAGTTCTGTGTGTGTATGTATGTGTGTGTGTGAGGGGGTACAATTTCTGTGCAAATACAGCATTTAGATCATGAACACTCTGAGCCTATAATAAAGCATAATCTAGTCTGGGCAGTCAAGATTTATAGCTGAATCTATAACTAGGAAGTTCGACCAGGGCTTTGCAATAGACTGGGAAGCAAAGCAAACAAATATGAAACTTCTCTATGATAGCTTTATGAAGATGCACTGCAGATGCTATTTCTAGTTCCCCTAGAAATTCCCTATTAAGTCATTTGTTTCAATAACTTTACTATATATGGCTGTATTATAACTGACAAAGTGAACAATCATTACTTAAAAAGAAACAAAACAGAAAAATATCAAAATGTTTAAACAGCTAGAAATTTTATGATATGTTTGCTTATTTTTCCCCTTCTAGATTGCTCCCAAGCTATTAAGTTCACATAGAATGATGCTCAGTCTTTACTCTTTCCTCCTTTGGGGACGAATTCACTTTCTTCTTTACTGGCTAGGCCTCTTCAATTTGGGATTTTAAAGGTTTTTTAAAATATTTTCAGTTGCCTTAACTGCCATATAGGCAGAAATCCTAAATGCATGTGTGTGCCTTTAATTTGGTGTTGACCTCCAGTGATGGCCTGGACTGATCTGAACTGCCTGGACTTTCAAGTTTTCTTGGCAAGGGTTGGGTTTTTTTGGGGAGGAAGTGGTTTGGCATTGCCTGCTTCTTTTGAAGGCTGGCTGAGAGAGAGAGTAACTGGCTGAGGTTCCCTCAACTGGCAATGACACAGTTGGATGGAGAGTATGTCTGGTTTGTGTGTTTTCACTATGTTCCTAGAAGTGTGGGAGGACAGGTCAAGAGAGCTCTCAGTGACCTTACCAAGAAAGAGAAAATCACTAAGAAGAATAATCAGTGGAGAATGAAAAGCAAGGGTGGACCAGTCCTCCCATGCTTTTATGGACACCCAAAACACACAATCTATACATGCCTCTCTGTCCAACTGTATTGATATCCGAGACCCCAACCTTCAAAGAGTTGGCAAAAAAACTTGGACACCTCATAGAGGGAAAATAATAATAATAATAATAATAATAATAATAATAATAATAATAATAATACCTTGACATGGTTGTGGGGCTTGTGTACTCTGAGGAAGATGAGAGCTATGCCAGAGGTTCAACCATACTGGACAGGTCTCATCAGAGGAGTCAGACAAAGAGTGTCTCTCCCATAAAAAATATGGTGAGACGTAAATTGCAGAATGCCATACCGGCTCGGACGTCGCCTGGGTTAACAAGGTCCGCACTAGATATTGGAGTTCCTGGATATCTGGTGAAAAATGAGTTACAGGATTCAGGACTGTTGGCTGAGCAACCAGGGCCAGCAGCTGCAGAACTACTGGAAGAAAAGATGTTTACCCGTCGCAGATACACAGTGATTGAAAACAAAGAAATAATGATCTGTTACTACAGATCAAGTCCAACAAGAAGAGGATATCTAAAACGAATGCACCAGTTCTGGAAAGAACAGCATCCAGAATCAGAAATAACAGAACAGAGACTAGCAGATCAACGCCGATTTATAACACGAAATAAAGTATTCACAGAAACAGAATTGGATGAACTGCAAAGGTTTACCCAGGGCAAAGAAATCAAAGCCTTACCAGAAGTAATTCAGAATGTAGAGGCAAACCAGGGGGAGTTGGCAGTGAAGGAATCCAATAGAAATATACAACTGTTCTCATTTGGAAACCAGGCACCTCTACCTCAGGAAGAACAAAACACTCTAACTAAAGAAATAAAAGAATTGAAACAAAGAATAACTGAGCATCTAGAACAACACAAAAACAACAGAATAAGGCTACCTGCATTGAAGCTTGTTCCAAAGAAACAGCTAGCACAAGCATTAAAAGATGCAAATACTGCAATATCAAGTATAAGCACCAATTCACTGCAAGAAACAAACCAACTAATGTACAGCACAGCTGCAGTTATAACAGAATACCTGGGATGCAAAATCAACAAAAAGAAAAACAAACAAACAGTGCACCAGAAAAATGGAAGGTTAGACTAGAAAATAAGATCAGCAAGTTAAGATCACATGCAAGCAAGCTAGAACAGATGAAAGAAAAGAAGCTGAAGAACAAGAAGACCAAAGAATACCTAATCAAGAAATACCACTTAGAAACAAGGAAGATCAAGGAAGCACTGGAAATAATAAAGCAACAAATAACAGCTATAGCCAGGAAAATCAGTAGATATGAAGCTCGAATTGCAAACTATAGGCAGAACCTCCAATTTCAATCCAATCAGAAACGTTTCTACCAATCCATCAATGGAGAAACTGCAAGGAATCAGTCAGTACCTGACAAGGAAGAAACAGTGCAGTTCTGGAAGCAGATATGGGATAACCCAAAGAAATACAACAAGGATGCGGCTTGGTTAAAAGAGGTGGATGCAAATAAAACAGAAGTTGAAATGAAAGAACTAGTAATAACAACAAAAATGGTAGAAAAAAGAGCAAAGAAAATCAAAAATTGGTCAGCACCAGGTGAAGATGAACTGCATGGGTTTTGGTTGAAACATCTAACTGTTATACACCCACTCATTGCCAAGCAGTTCAACAATATACTACAAGGAGGAGAAATTGAAAAGTGGCTAACAACTGGGAAAACCTACCTAATAATGAAAAATCCAGCAAAAGGGGCAACACCAGGTAACTACAGGCCAATTACCTGCTTACCAACAACTTTCAAATTACTAACTGGTGTAGTAGCTGATGCAGTGCAACAGCATCTAGTTGAAAACAATCTCTTTCCACCTGAGCAGAAAGGAAACCGCCCCAATAGCAGAGGAACAAAAGATCAACTCCTAATAGACAAAATGATCTTGGAAAACTGCAAGAGAAGGAAGACCAACCTGAATGTGGCATGGATTGACTACAAAAAGGCATTTGACTCTCTGCCACATGATTGGATAATAAAGTGCCTAGAAATAACAGGAGTCAGTAGAAACATCAGAAAATTTGTGCAAAGATCGATGGCACAATGGAAGACACAGTTGCAGATCAATGGTGAGAGGCTGGGAGAGGTTAATATCAAGAGAGGAATATTTCAAGGAGATTCATTATCACCATTACTATTTGTTATTGCATTGTTTCCTCTGTCAACAATACTGAATAACTCAGGACATGGCTATCAAACATCAAAAACATCTGCCAGACTATCCCATCTCCTTTATATGGATGACCTGAAGCTGTATGGAAAAACATCATCTGAAATAGAATCGCTGCTCAACACTGTCTGTATATATAGCCAAGATATAGTTATGGAGTTTGGCTTGGACAAATGTCTCACACTTACTATCAAACAAGGAAAAGTCGTGAAAACTGAAGGAATCAAGATGCCCCACGAAAATAACATTAAGAGTCTGAATGAGGAAGAGTACTACAAATACTTGGGTATCCTTCAAGCTGACAACGTCAAGCACACTGAAGTCAAGAAAAAGATTAGAGGTGAATACATGAAGAGAGTGAAGAAGATCTTAAAATCCAAACTCAATGGAGGAAATACCATAAAGGCAATCAACACCTGGGCAATCCCAGTCATTAGGTACACAGCTGGAATAGTGGACTGGACTCAAGCAGAACTAAAGCAATGGATAGGCAGACCAGAAAAATAATGACAATGAATCATGCCCTTCATCCACGCAGTGACATTGATAGACTTTATCTACCAAGGCAAATAGTGGGCGTGGAATGCTACAAGTACATCAGATGGTTGAAGAAGAAAAAATGGCTTTGGAAGAATATCTGGAGAACAATGATGAAGATGCACTGAAATTAGTATATCAGGAAAGCTTACTAACTACTGGAGAGACCAAACTGGCCTACAA